GGGTCATTGGAAGGAGCAGTGTCCGTTGCTGGAACTAAGGGGAAGCCTCGTTTGTCACCACATGCTCCAGCCATGTGTTTGTTCTGCCGTGTTGGATAAAAACCGTTGGGTGTAGGCTCGGGGCATGGTGCCTGATAAAGAAGCCGGTTGTGCCGACCCAGATGCGGGTTCTGGGTTTGAGCCGTTCATCACTGAAGCTGTTGTATCAGTAGTCGGGTAGTGACAAATATGTGCCGAATTAAGGTGTTGCGTGATACAGCGGTGCTAGATACTCATTCATTGTTGAGGTCAGTATTGCCTTTTCGTCAGACGAAAACGGGGGATTTTGTGCTGATGAGGGGCATGGAGATGGGCTTGATCCTGTGCCACGGCATACAATAGTGTTTGTATTGCGAGCTGGTGTGGGGAGTTGGTCTATCAGGCGTGCGTCCCGCGTTGCCACTTGATGGGATACATATGATTTTGGGCAACGATCTCGCTGGTAGTGCTGTGTGGGCTGGTGTGCCACCGCCTGTGGTGGTTTCCAGGCCGGTGGCATCTGGGGAGCCAGATGAGAGTGGTTTGCAGTTTCCAGGTTTGTTTCCAGTTTGTGCTGTGACACGTGCACAGAGCGTAAATATCTGCTGACCCACATGTTTCGGAGTGAGCTAAAGTACTGTGGTACATGTGGTCTCACTGCCGATCTCCCTTCGTCGGCTGTCAAAGGAGGACTGGGTCAGGAGTCAGAAGGACGATTCATCTCTTTCTTGCTTGTGGAATTGAGTTGTTGCCGGCAGAGACAGAGAAGGTCAGAGACATAGCCCCGGGTTACTTTTGTTCAGGGGGACTTGCTGGTGCGTAAGTGGGTTGCCCCTGTGTTGGTGATGCTGTGGGGGAGGCATTTTTCAGGTGGTGGTGCCGAGTAGCTTTTCGTGAGTGATATTGCAAACTGCCATGATAGTGGTGGGACATTTGGGGATAAAAAAAACCTATGACCGTGTCCTACGCTATTTTTTTCTGGCCTCGGTTAAAGTGCGATGTTGCAAGTTATATTAAAGCATGCCACATGTCAGTTCACTGGTAAACCAAGTCAGGTGGTGAAGCCTGCACCCCTCAGTCCCATTCCAGCCAGTAGTTAGGGCTTTAACCCAGTTCATCTCCACATTTGGGATCCCACGTATGATTCAAAGCGACCAGGGAACCAACTTTACTTCCCATATGTTCAAACAGATCCTACAGCAGCTGGGGGTCAGGCATAACCGTGCGTCGGCTTACCATGCCCAAAGCCAGGGGGCGCTAGAGCGGTTTCATCAAACATTGAAGTCCATGCTGCGTGCTTATTGTATGGAAATGGGGAAGGACTGGGAGGAGGGACTTCCATGGCTCATGTTGGCGTCCAGGGAAGTCGTTCAGGAAAGTACAGGGTTCAGCCCTAATGATTTGGTCTTTGGGCATAAGGTGCGTGGGGTGTTATCTGTTCTCCAGGATGTTCTGGTTGAGGGTGAGCCACCTAAACATTTAGTGGACTATGTACAGGGCCTTTCGTCATCGCCTGTATGTAGCGGTGGAAATGGCAAGGAAAATTTAGCTGGTGCTCAGGCTACTATGAAGAGGACTCTATGACCGTAAAGCAGAGTATCGTGAATTCAGCCCAGGGATCAGGTGTTGGCTTTAATGCCACTGCAGGTCTCACCATTCAAGCCAAGTTTTCCGGCCCGTACGCTGTTGAGAGTAAAGTGTCAGATCAAAATTACTTGATTGCTACTCCAAATCGGAGGAAGGAGGAAGTTGTCTCAACTGGTGTCACGTCAACCTCCTGAAACCGTACTATGTTCGTGATACCGTTGGGGATAGCTTCATGGCTAAAAGGTTGGGTGTGGGCCCCATAATGATGGTTGATTCTGTGCTTTCAGATCGAGGGTTGGCTGAGGAGTGTGATGTCAAGGCACCAGATGAACCTGTTATGTCTGGTAGGCTGAGGAATTCGGAGTCGTTATGCCAATTGGATCGCTTGTTGAGTCACTTACCGGCAGCACAGAGAGATGAATTGGCGGCTTTAATCGGGAAGTTTGTAGGTACTGTTCGGCGATACGCCATAGCGCACAAACTCTCGTGGAGCATGATATCGACGTGGGGGACAGTCCTCACTTAAGCAGCGATTTATCGTTGTCCTGCAGTCCTATAGTTTGGACATTCGGCACATTAAGGGCAAGGACAATGTTGTGGCGGATGCTCTCTCTCGTGCCCCGGTGGGGTAGGAAGTCTCTCTGGCTCTGGATATTTGGTGTTGTTTCGGGATCCCTTTGGGGCCTCCGTCTTAAGGGGGTGCTGTGATGCCCCATCAGTGGAGAGGGTGTGGCTGTCCTGGCTGCATTGATCGCACTGATTGCAGTAACTCAGGGCACCTGGGTCTGGTGCTCTGCAGCTATTTTAAAGCCTCTCTGCTCCTGTCTGTTCTCTCTCTGCTTTTTCCTGCAGTCAACTGACTCTGATGAGTATAAACCATGAGTTGAAGTGTGTGTTTTGCTCCGTTCACCGCTGCATCACAGCGGGAGGAGCTGCAGGTGAGCAGAGCTGCGTGTCTCCGTCCTGTCAGATTAGACTTCACTCGCGTTTATGTCCATATCTAGAGAAAGATAAATAATCTGAATTCAGTGTTAACGTGTTATAGCAGAAGTTTAATACAGCGTATTTCTGGTATATTCATTTTATTATGTCACCTGATATATAAGAAGTGTGTTGAATTATGTTATCACTAATATATGTGTTTTTATATATTCTTGTGTGTACTTAATTACTTTGTGTTAAATAGTAGCAGTCTGTATAACAAGAAGCTGGAAATATTTGTATTGAGAGTAGTGGGGATGGGAGAGATGAGATATCCTTATTTGGACACAGCGTGGCAGACATCTGAAAGACAGCAGATTAAGATGGGTGTGTGTGTTCATTGCAGTGGCTATATACTGTACAATTACTGTTCTACTATACCTGTGTTTTATTGATTTCTCTCTGTTTTATTATTTCATGTTGTGAGTACTAAATTGCCACAACATTGTGAAGTAGTTGGCTTATATGTGCTTAATTACTCTGTATGAAGTAGGACCAGTTTTGCATGACAGGAGACTAGAGATGTGGGAGAGGAGACATCCTTATTTAGACACTGGGCAAGTATCTGGAAGTCTACATGTCTAAATTAGGTGTAGGATCTAAAGTAACTGATATGTATTACTTGTATTGGCCAACTATAAACAGCTAGGTCGTAAACATATCTTTAAAATATCAAAAATATGTGAAACTGTGTGTGTGTATTGAACTGATGGGGGAGGGGGCCGAAGAGAGGGGGGTCTATGCAGAAAATGTGTGTGTGCAGGAATGTGGAACCACGGACACCAGATGTGTTTGTTTTGCCTCAAACTGAAGAGACTCTTTTTTCTGGGCTGCCTCCTGGCTGGCTCGCGCTGATTCGCTGCGACAGGCTATCGTTTTTATATCTCCCAATAGATGGGCCCTATGGGAGGAGCAACCCACACAACTCGTCCCCGGTGTTCTTACATGTATCCTGTTGTGTGCTTTGTCCGGTCTCTTTTCCTCCTGCCGCCAAGATAGTAAGATCTCCCAGCACTGGGAACAGAGCAGGGGTACCCTTTAAAGTGTATTGTTGTTCTTTTACCATTAAAACAGATTATTGTTTAACCCTTTATCTGGTGCTTTGAATTCCTTCTTTTATAAATCTGACCAGCTCATCAAAGGACGCGCGGAGCCGAGGTGGGTTTCAGACCACTCATTGCTCCAACAAAGTGGTGACCCCGACGTGATGAGCAGCAGGGTCTAGAAGGAACACCAGCGACCGCATTGGGTCCAGGGGTCCGTACCAAGAATATCTTTGACAACTAACAACAGGGCCCTGACAACGAAAGATCTGTGATTGGCTAAAATAAACTACATTTTAGAGTTGTCAAAGACATTCACAGTGTTTTAGTTGTACGGTAAAGAATACAATACATATGTTAGGTCGGAAAGTTATATAATATAAAAGTGAAGCAACGAGGTGTGTAAGAGGACGGTGAAAGACTCCATAGATTTTTTTCAGAAATCATACGGCCAACTCGTTGGGGAAGTTCAGTGGTTTTCTAAAGACTCCATCCAGAACAAAACAGAATAATACTTTCCAGTCTCGTAAGAGCTGCAGTTGTATTATATGTAAAAATTCCAAGAGGAGAAACGTGACCTTCAAAAGCCATTTGAAACGATCGGATCTCACTATCTCTTGTTCTGTTGGGTTAAATGTCTAAAGGCTAAACGTGACGATAAAGGAAATATACATGGCACTATAAAGGCCGGATAGACTGTACGGGGAATATAACTAGCTGTGAATATATATAATTAGTGAACATAAATCAACCTTAGTCAGATAAAGAAATACGAAGTCATAATGGAAGGATAATTTGAATGAGAAGAACGTGAACTAGGCGTCCCAGTACCAGGGAGCTTACGAGAACAGTGGGGACAGACTGACCCCCTGATCCCACCGGAAGCGTCTGCACCGCGCTGCGACCTCCTCCTGCGTCATAACCCACCAGGCGCGTTTCAAAACGTTGCGGAAGTGGAGCGTCGTGTGTGCAGCCTCGCAGTTGTTGATTTTGGAATATTTCCGGGACATTTGTACTTCTACAAGTAAGTAGGCGACGTAGTTAAATGGTTTATGTTTGTGTCTGTTTAAATCGTGTTTATTGTTGTTATTTCCTATTTTGTTGTGTTGTAGACTACAGACACAGTTAATAATAATTGTAATATTCCAGTTATAAACAACATAAATCAAAGATGTGTTGTATTTTAGTGGTAAAAAAATATGCATTCATCATTATTCTATATATATATATATATATATATATATATATAATTTACAGTGCCTGTAAACCGGAGGAGAACGCTGGCATGTATTCTCCTACTTGAAAGACTACGGGGGGGTGGGGGGGAAGAGAAGGAGCCGGTTTTGGGTGCACCCCCTCAACCAGCAAAGGAGACAACAAGGTGATTTTCATCACCTCGTGGCTGAACTGAGGCTGGACAGCCAACGACATCACCAATATTTTCGGATGAGTGCAGAGCAGATGGATGAACTTCTGTCCCTCCTGGGCCCTGAACTGACCAGACAATCCACAAATTTCAGAGCTGCCATAGAACCCAAGCAGAGACTGGCTGTTGCACTGAGGTAAGATGCACATTTCACAGACAATAAATCACTGACCACAAGTATAATAAACGTTTTAATTAGAAACATATCACCCAAAACAACATTTTAAACACCAACATCAAATAACAGCAAATCAACACAAAAAAGGAACTATTTACAGTAAAAACAATATGAATTACAAGTCTTCATATTGAGACCCATCCTGCCATGCAGAGCCACTGTTGGAGAACAGCATGTTGGTGAATGGCCCTGTTGATTGGGCTTGTGGGGGTTGGGGTGCAGTTGGCCGAAGGGCTACTGGCCTGGAGGTGTGAGTGGAGTGTTGTGATGTGGGGGGATGGAAAATTGGCTGCCAATGTTCCTGTGGTTGTGTACTCTCTCTTTCAAGACTATGGAAGGTCTTTAAAATAGCTATTTTTGCCCGATGTTTCCTGTCTATGTCCAGCCTTTGTAGCATAGGCACCAGACTCAGAGCAAAGTAGTATGACTCTTCAAGTGGTGTGGCTGGAGGTTCCTGCAGTAGAGAAATGAGTTGCTCCCCAAGGTCTGTGCTCTGTGGCCTCCTCTTTGTGGAATGCTGGGCCGCCGCTGCTGGTGTGGATCCCTGGGGGCTACGGGACCTAGAGGGCCTCCTCTCTGCAGAGGTTGTGGGTACCAGAGGTGGTGTGGGTGTAGGTGGTGTGGGTGTAGGTGGTGTGCGTGGGCCTGAATATCCAGATGCTGCTCCTGGTGTAGATGCTCTCTCTATCTCTTCTAATGGGGAAGGATTTACCAAGCTGCTTGTAGAACTATATTAAAAGAAACAACAACATGAAATCAATTAAAATATTTTTTTCTTGGGATTAATTTATGGCAATATGAACATATTTATGTAATTTAAAATAAACTCTTTCATACCATTTGCAATATATCATGACAAATTACAAAGTTACAAAATGATATAGATAAAAAAATGTGCATACATACCTCCTTTGCTGTATATATGGCAAAATGAAGGACATGTCTGAATACTTCCAGGCCTTCTGCGAGACACCTGCAGATCCACTTGGGATGGACTTCTTTCCGGGTTTTGACGAAAGCACCCCTCAGTGACTTCCATTTCGCCTTGCAAACGTCGACTGAAAAAAAGAATAGATTCCGATTAATAAAATGATTTCACTTATTAATTATTTGCTTGTTTTTCCCTTCACAGATACTTGGCTTCCGGGGACTCACTGGTCAGCCTAGCATTCAGCTATCGCCTAGGATGCACTACTGTGAGAGACGCTGTCCATTTGGTGTGTGCAGCCATTGAAAAAATGATGATGGAGAGGTTCCTACCCAGGCCAACAGAAGACACATGGAAGGAGGTTGCACAAGGATTCTGGGAAAAATGGAATTTCCTAAATAGCTTGGGAGCAATAGACGGAAAACACATCGTCATCGAAGCACCACCACGGTCTGGGAGTCAGTACTTCAATTATAAGAAGACTTTTCCATAGTGCTTTTGGCACTTGTTGATGCTGACTACAGGTTCCGAGTGATTCAAGTGGGGGACTTCGGAAGAACAAGTGATGGTGGGGTGTATGCCGGATCGGATTTGGGGAAAGGACTGGAGGCCAGAACACTTCATGTTCCAACCAGTACCTCTCTACCTGGTGCTGCTCACCTGGGTGAGATGCCATTCGTCATGGTGGGTGACGCAGCTTTCCCACTCAAGCCATACCTGATGAGACCATACCCTGGAAAGAACCTCACTCAACAAAAGAGGATTTTAAACTACAGACTTTCCAGAGCAAGGATGGTGGTGGAAAATGCCTTCGGCATTCTGGCTTCCAGGTGAAGAATCTTCCATCGTCGCATCAACCTGCACCCGAAAAACGTGGACAAGCTTGTGGTGGCTGCATGCATCCTACACAACTTCCTGCTGGCCCCTGTGGAACACCAGAGGTTGCTGGATGAGGAAGAGCAGCAGGGAAGACACATGGCACCAGTGAGAAACATGGGAGGAAACTGGGCATCAAGAGAGGCCCTGTAATGTGAGGGAGGCTTTCTGCACATTCTTCAACTCTCCTGAGGGCAGTGTGTCTTGGCAGGACAGGGATGGTGTGATTACTGGAACACACAAAAGTTACTACACTGACAAATGATTGAAAGATGTGTTTTTTTCATTCCAGAGAATTTGAAAAGCTAAAAAAGTTATAGTTGTTGTACTCCCAAAGACAGGTTATTGTTGCATTTGTAAAAAAACTGTTCTTTATTTTTAATATCCTATGTTATTATGTATTTTTTTGATAATACATTTCATAATAAATAGTTTTGTCTGACAAATGACTGCCAAATTATTCTTGTCTGTCCTCACAATTTATCTGACTATAAATACAAGGTTATACTCTGGGTAGTTGTTTTTTCAATGATGTAAAAAAATATTACAAATCAAAATGTAGTAGCCCTATATTTGATGAATTACTGTACTATTGTACAATGGCACTTGTGAAATACAATTTCCTGTTTTACTACAATACACCTCAGAGGGAAATATTATTTCTTCATTTTACATTTTTCTGATAGCTATACTTTAGATGAATACAAA